CGAGCCCAAGAGGCATCCACCTACGTGACCCGTCTCTCGTTAATAACGGGTCGCAGTTCCGCGATTCAGGCCGAGCCAACGTTGCCGACGCCTGCGTTCAGGGATTGCGTCACGACTATGAGCGACAGTGCGGAGATGCTGCGGAAGGCGAGTCAGCAGCTTCGACACATGGGGCGAGCGAGGAGGCCGTCGTTTGCGCTGCGGTTGAACAACGTGCAGACGTGGCTCAGCGCTGCGATTACGGATCAGAGCATGTGCCTTCTTAGTCTTCAGATGCACGAGGAGGATCAAAAGAGTACTGCTGGCAGCAGGATGCATTTGGTTACGAGGAAGAAGGTGATGGAGGTGAGCAGGGTTACGAGTAATGCTCTCGCGCTTGTGAACCAGCTTGGGTCCAGGAACTGAACCGGTTGAGTTCGATGACAGAAACTAATATATTTATGTTATAGGCGGAATATTTAATGTATTTTTTCCGGTATCAGGTTTTTTTTTTGCAAAATTATGCATTATTAATGTAAAGTAAATTGGTACCTTATATCTGAATAAAATGCCGGTTTCTCCTCGTTATAATTCAAAATTAATGAGTTTAATTAGTTAGTACTAGACAGATTTGAATTGTAACAGTAGATTATTCAGTTAGTAACTGTGATTCACTTAACTCAAAAATCATCCTGTCAGATTTATATCATGCTTTAATTCCTACTACAAACAGAGTGCCATGGAGTATCACAATTTGGGGGAATCTAAATTACCCTAAGCACTCTTTTATCTCCTGGTTAGCACTCTAAGATAGACTACTAACTCAAGATAAGCTGCAGAAAAGAGGGATCATTCAAATCAACAAATGTGTGTTATGTGCAGGATCAGAAACTGAAACTCGAAATCACATCTTCTTTGACTGCAAGTTTTCGAACGATATCTGGAATGGAGTTATGAACTGGTTACAATTCAATGGAAAAGTTGTGATTGGAATCTTTTGATGAGTTGGTACGAAGCTAACCAAAGGAGAAAAACTTTCAAGATCAATGTTAAAAGGATGGCTCTCACCTCCTCTATTTACAATATATGGCTGGAACGTAATGGGAGGATTTTTAAGCAGAAATACAAAACTGTTGAGCAAATCATCAAATGCATCAAATTGGACTTAATGTCAGTTGTTCTTAATAGTGAGATGCCTTGGAGATACAAAAACTGGTTGATTTCCTTATAAGCATAGCAGGGTGCTTTTTGGTTTCAGGTTGTGCACTATCTGGTGCATTTTGGATTTACTGCCAGTTATTCTTAACAGTGAGATGTCTTGGAGATGCAAAAAACTGGTTGATTTCTTTATAAGCACAGCAGGGTGCATTTTGGTTTCAGGATGTGCACTATCTGGTGCATAATTCAGGTGGTGCATTGTTGAGGAATCCAGATAGAGTAATATACAATGTTCAGGCTCGAACAGTTTTTTTTTCTTTTGAGCTTTAGATACAAAACTTTGTTATCTCACAAAATGTGATGAGATTCTTGATGTACATACTCTTTTCATATTGGTTGATGAATAAAATTTTTTATTTACCAAAAAAATTCACTTAAATCCAAAGTATGGACTAGTGTGAACATGAGGGACTGCGCGCGGTACGGCGGGGGGGGGGG